TGACATTGTAAATAAGAAGTGGGCAGCATTATCTCCCGTAAATGTAAACAAACTTGTCTGTCTGAGCAATTGGCTGAACAAGAAGTAGGACTGGGTGAATTGTAGGTTTTACATTGTTTTGAGTGCAGATATGTAACAAAAAAAAATCTATATTTGTAAGTTGTAAGTTGCATTGATTTCAATTACAATAGAATACGAAGTGTACAGTGCTCACATTATACTATTATTTTTATTACAAAATTTGCACTGTAAAATGAAAACAAAAGAAATAGTATTTTTCAATTCACCTCATACAAGTACTGTAGTGAAAACTATTTATCATGGAAATATTTAATACATTTCAATTGGTATTCTATTGTTTAACATTGTGCGATTAAAACTCCGATTAATCGTGATTAATTTTTTTATTCGTGATTAATTTTTTTTTAATTAATCGCGTGAGTTAACTGCGATTAATCGACAGCCCTAGTTTAGATGTAATAAGTTAGAGGATGCTTTTCTGTATTTTTTATTTTTGGCTGTTAATCTAGTTTGTTCATGATTGTCTTCCACTGCATCTTCTGATGTCAGAAATTAGTGACATGGATGGGCTGTCTAGATAATTAATCTACACCAACACTCTCTAAACAATGAACAAATTGGGGTGAGACGCAATTGTCTGATGCTTTATTTTAATCAAGATCATTGTGGGCTAAAATGATTCCCTATGATGAATCCTGTGAGGACTGATAATCATGCATGGAAAGACTACAGCAGTTTGTTGATGTGCAGCATAACAAAAACGTAGCATTCCCTTCTGAGACCTGTGGGAAGTAAAACCAATGCACATAGCATTTTGTACATTCACAGTGACAGAGAAGCGGACAGAGATGAGCTATAGAAAGATTGCAGCCACTTTACAAAGGCATTTGTCACTGAAACTTTTTATCCTGGCAGAACATTTCCAGATTCATAAGTGGAATCAGCAGCCTGCCAAGCTCACAAGTGTGCATATGGCACAACTGAAGATGCCAGGCCAATTTGGAACAAATCTGAATGATGGTTCGAGGAACTATTTGGTGTGTGGTTAGACATGCCAGCCATTTGCTGACAGACTCTGATCTTACATAATCCTGAGCTGTGGGATATCACTGTGTCAGTGAAGACTGTAGCAAAAGACATGGAAAATAAAATGGCCCAAAGTCAGAGTGACATTTACCAAATCAGTTCCACATTAGCCAAAGGCTGACTCCTCATTTTGAACGTTTCTCCTGTTGCCAAACAGACCATAAATTGTCATTTCAAAGAGGAGCTGTATCAGAAGTACCAGAAAGAATGACATACACATATGTGTAAAAGCAAATAAACTGTAACAAATCCAGATACAAGTATAAAGTAGTTCAAACTGTTCCTGAGCAATTATCTACCAGTGACAGAGATGGTGACTGCTTAAACATTGCCAGTAGGAATATACACACAGAAAATAAACCCCAGAAAAGCTCAGATATCATAGAGATGGAACCAGAAAACATCTGCTCAATGTGCAGCGGCAGTCAAAAAAACTGACAGAATGTTAGGAACCATTGGAAAAAGGATAGATAAGACAGAAAATATCATAATTCCACTGTATATATCGATGATATGCTCACCCCTTGAATATTGTGTGTAGTTCTGGTTTCCCCATCTTAAAAAATATAGATTGGAATTGGAAAAGGTACAAAAAAGGGCTACAATTAATGATCAGGGATATGGAGCAGCTTTCATACGAGGTAAGGTTAAAAACACTGGGACTGTTCAGCTTAGAAAAGAGATGACTAAGAGGTGATATGATAGAGGTCTATAAAATGAATCATATGGAGAAAGTGAATAGAGAAGTGTTATTTATTTACCCCTTCACATAACACAAGAATCAGGGGTCACCCAATGAAATTAATAGACAGCAGGTTTAAAACAAACATAAGGAAGTATTTCTTCACAAAATGCATCATCAACCAGTGGAACTTGTTAGCAAGGGATGTTGTGAAGGTCAGAAGTATAACTGGGTTCAAAAAAGAATTATATAAGTTAATGAGGATAGGTCCATGAATAGCTATTAGCCAAGATGGTCAGGTATAAAACCCCAGCCTCTAGGTGTCCCTAAATCTCTGACTGCCAGATGCTGGGACTGGACGACAGGGGACGATGGATCATTGATAATTGCCCTGTTCTATTCATTCCCTCTGAAGTATGTGGCATTTGCCACTGTTGGAAGACTGGTCTAGATGGACCACTGGTCTGACCCAGTATGGCGATTCTTATGTTACCTAAATGAGCAGTCTCATTGAAATCAGTGGGACTACTTGTAAGAGTACCTGCTCACCGGTAAGCAATAAGGAGTTCACAAATTGGGCCCAAACAATTTCACAATCAATTAACCCCACTGTATCATTCCCACTTTGACACAGAACTCAATGAAGCTCTGCCACATACACTGGAGTAAGCTCTGCTGCTTAGTACACAGGGCCTTACCCAAAGAATATTTAAAGAGACTCAGCAGAACAAGCTCCTTGGCTATTGAATCAGCATTTTTCATGAGCTATCAAAATCAAGCCATCACCCTTTTATGTGGAGATTAATCCATTTGGTGTCTGCAGTGTTTGTTAACATAATGAATCACAGCTGGAATCCTGTTACACTTCCTGAGAATATAACCTGAGCGTGACCCCATTATCTTGCATTTCCCATTCTCATATAGCTGTTTCTTATCATAAATAGGGATTTTCACTTGGCTCTTATAAGCATAATTTTCAGCTGAAAAATTACACAAACTCCGGATAGCTAATGCTGGTATTCAAAATAAATGTTTAGCTGGTGGAATTCAAATAATGTTCCCAAGTCTAAACATGCGTAAGGGAAGACCGGCAGGCCATCAGTGCAGGCTCGTGCTTGCAAATAAAGTGGCACGGTCCTGATCCTGAGCATCCCCACCTGGCAGGATCAGATTTTATTTAATCAATTTGTACAACCATTGTACTATTGGAATGAGCCGTCATCTTTACCAGACCTTATTTTGCAAACAAACAAGTTACCTATAGTATTTCAGACACTCACAATAATGAAATCTTCATGTTCTGATTTATGCTTTCAAAAAAAATATGATCAGAAATGCAAAGCTGGGCCTGGGAATTCAGACCATACTCCAGCTTTACCGTGGGCCAACGCTGAGGAAAGAGGAGGAACTCTGCATTGGGAGTTAAAGTCAAAGGAGCTTCAAGGATTTATGGGTCAATAAATATCTAATTAGACCACTTTTAACAATGGAAAATATTAACACATCATCAAATATGTGGATTTTTAAAGTCCTCCAGATCCAAGGAGGATGGAGAGATGCTGTTCAGGGAGACCAAGGAGGAATTGCTAAGAATCATGGGGTGAAACAGAGGTTATACATATCAGGAAAAATGTCCTATGGGATAATTCCCCAAGGAATGGTGGAAGCATCATTGTTTAAGGCATACTCAAGGCCAAGCTCCACCTTCAGACAGGAGCATGAGAATTCAGTAGGAGCTGTGATGCTTAACTGGTTTCCACTAACTCTCAGGAATCAGTCCACAGAAGGTAACATTTTAAGATGACTTTTTATGTACTTTGAGGGAAACTCACCCTTGTGCAGAAGGTCAGCACAAGGGACTATGCACCACATAAGCCCACTTGTGAGGATTTAAGTGGAACTTAAGAGACACACAGGGCCCTTTGCACAAGACAGCATTTCACCCTCTGAGTGAAATTCACACCCAATGAGGACAGCCTGAAATAAGCAGGTAACTCATTACCTCACAGAGTTTGGCTTTATGTTTTTTGGGGAGGAGTTCACACTCTCATTTAAAAAGAACCAACACACTATTTCATTTTTTTTAATACTCCTGGACTAAAAATTTTTAAGCCAAATCTCAGCCCAAAGCATTTTTTTTCTTACTTGTGAACTATAAACAATTGACAAATAGGGTTTTACAAAGGTAGCACTGTGTCCTTTAATTTAGAAGCTGAACCATAAGTGTTAGAAAGTTTATGGCACCTCTAACTACCTATGGTGGTGACCTATAGCTTTGTTGCTTCAAATAACCTACATTAAAATGGGAACATCTGTACAGCTTGGTATTAGATTAATGATGAAGAATTGCATACCTAATTGATATTTTTTCTACTATAATTCAATTGTATAAATATATTCAGATACTTTTAGGTTTATGCATAAAGTGAAATTAATAGGAATTAAGATACTGAAGAACTTCTAAATACAATATTAGTTTTTGAAGAACTTTAGAGCTCAGAGATGATCAGAATATTGGACCCAATTCTGCTCTCAGTTACAGCAGTGCAAATCCAGAGTAACTCCATTGACTTCAGTGGAGTTAATCAGATTTATGCCGCTGTAACTGACAGCAGAATATAATGGACCTATATTCTGTATCATCAGTGTTATAATCATGGGGCCTGATTCCCATTTACGCTAAGGCCACTTTACACCATTCTTCCAGTGTAAAGGGCCTTGAAATGGGAGTAAATTATATTTACATCCATTTTAAGGCTCATTTGCACTGCTAGTGGTATAAAATAGCCCTAGTGTAATGGGAATCAGACCCATATTTGTTTATATAGGACCAGAACCTGCACAAGCCAACTGGAGTTATTCCATCGATATCAATGGGCACAGGATCAGGGCTTGTACAACTGTACTTTCACTTATCCCTTCAGAAGAGAGTTATTTATGACCTACACAGCATATTTCTAAGTCTGTGGGAAAGTCTGGTGCAATTTGATTCCTTAGTTCAAGTTGTTTAATGGGAAAAAATGCCCACAGATTAACCCACTCGGTTTTCTAGCGTTATGGAGCTGATGGAGTTCACCCTCAAAGCTAAGAAGCCGGTTCAGAGAGTAGGCCTGTTTGCTTAAAAGCATCAACAACGTCAATTTTAAAAAAAGTTCAAAGCCAAAGAGTATTTACAAAAGCAAGGACGTCAAAGGCCAGGAGCTAGAATTACCTTGTCACACCATATTCTGGGGGAGGCTGGTATCTGACAACTGCTCCTTCCGTTCTTGCTGGCAGAGGAGCAGGGTAGGAGGGTTTGAGAATCTGCATCATCCCCGAGTGCTGGTCATTATAAAACAACCCGTGTTCCTGAGTCTTGCTGACTGGTGACACCACCTGCTTGGCTTTGTAGGGGTACTCGGGAGGGGGACCTCTGGGATCCATTCCTTTGCCAGAAGGCTGAGTGAGTGGGGGTCCTCCAGTTTTGAAGCCTTTGTTACTCCCTGAGGTAGGAGGGTGTTGCTTAGCACCATTTCTCTCCAAGGACAGCTGCATTATCCTCTCGCTTAGAGATCGGACATGACCCTGCTTAAGTTCTTTAAGTGCTTCATCTTTATGAGCCTGCCCACTGTTGGCCCGATTCACAGTTGGTCTCCCTTCCGTTCTCGATTTCTGACTGGACACTCCAGCAATGTAAAAACTTGGGCCAACAGCACCTGGCTGCTGGCCCCTAAAAAACTGGGACTGGGCCTTCGCCTCCTCATAAGTTGGTAGTTCTTCATTGTTCTGATGAGGCTGTGTGGCCCTGGACTGTTTCTCCATCACAGTATTGTCCACCTGATGTTCTTGCCCCTGAGGTTCCTGGCGTGCTGACTGCTGGAGCATTTGTGGGTCTTCTTGTGTGAGGTTTTCTGTGGAAGAAAGTGTGCTTGTAGTGCTGTTGGATGGTCCTGCGCTCCCGGTGGCCTGGTGCTGAATTGCCAGCAGATTCATGTTCTCATTTGGATTGCCATACCTCAGCTGCTCCTGGATCAATCGCCGTAAAACTGTTCCAGCTGCAACATCCTCTGAACCTCTCATTTCCACCTCTGAGATCCCAAGGAAGTTTGAAGGGTGGAAGTTGCAAAGAGGGTCCTCAACTAAACATAGAACAGAAGAAAGTCAGGATTTATGTTTTCTGATGACACCATTATTTAAGGCTGGCAACTGCTGAGAAATTATCTAATCCTTTTACACTATAGTGCCCTGCTTCCTCTCCTCCTTACCAAACAATGCAGTATAACCTTGGAAAACTCTGAAATGCTATTAAAAATAATGAGGTTGTACAAGTGTAATTAAGAGCAGAATCTGGCCATGAATCTACTATCTTAGTCCAGTAATTTGATTTATTTCTAACAATGCTATCTCTACATGATTAACAGTAATTTTGACATGTCAGTTCTAACAAGATGATAGGGTGACAGATGCACTGCTACCAGGGCCGGCTCCAGGCACCAGCTTGGCAAGCAGGTACTTGGGGCGGCCAATCCGGAGAGGGGCGGCAGGTCCAGCTATTCGGCGGCAATTCGGTGGATGGTCCCTCACTCCCGCTCGGAGCGAAGGACCTTCTGCCGAATTGCCGCCGCAGATCGCGATCGCGGCTTTTTTTTTTTTTTGGCTGCTTGGGGTGGCCAAAACCCTGGAGCCAGCTCTGACTGCTACGTAAATCAGATCTGCTTATACAGTACCTTGGCTGTTCTATTCCCAGGAGTCAGGCACCTTAGAAATATCACAGCTAGGCCGATTAGATAAAATATATTCCATAAATGACACAGAAAATAAAAAGGATAGTGCAATATCCTGAGTCACAGGAGGACAGGAGCTAAGGAAAAGTCACAAATCTCCAAGTACTGTATTGAGTGGGGCCAAATACCACATTAATTTGCATGCTGTGAAACTCATTGACTTCAATAAGGTTGCACAGATTGTGAGTAACTACAAAATACTGAATTGATTCCAATCCACTTTTCCAACACTTGAACCCACTCACCTAGTTTTCTACTGGAAACAATTTGCAGCTAATGAATTGCAAAAAGTGAAATACGTAGCTGGGGTCTTCCCTGAATTTCCTAGACTGTAACAAAGCAATAATTCTATCTACACAATCTCACTAGGACTTGCTTCCCCCTCACTTACCATGCACCAGTTCCACAGGGGTGTAACTCTATCGAGACCAATGAAGTTACTCCTTAGAGACACGGGTGTAAACGAGATTAGAATCAAGTCCTCAGGAATTGGATATAATCATTACAAATTGTTAGGCAACGAGGAAGCACCATTCCGTGTTCATTTTTTGAGGTCACTCTTGGAAATGTTATTTCTGAAGCCTGCTGTTCTCAGTTCTCATAGCAGTTTTTTAGAAGTATTTAAAAAAAATTCATTTGAAAGTCATTAAAAAACAAATGTTCTCTCGAGGTTTGGTACCTCCCTGAGGTTTCATCTGTTATTGCTCACACTGTGTGATCACTTACATACAAATTGGATGCCAGATAGAAAAGAAAAACCCTCAGCTCTCCAGTATGAAAATAGGTCACTTCTATTAACATTTTTGTGGCAAAGACTTAAAGATGATTGGTAGGGTTTCCAGGGGAGAGTGGATACCATGCGGTTTCACTACAGTCATGTCACACACTCTGCAAAGTTCCTTCAGAGGACATTATCTGCCTATGCAGGGTCTAATCCAGGGGTCTCAAACACGCGGCCCAGGGGCCACGTGCGGCCCGCGGAGTTGTTTTCTGCGGCCTGCAACTTCCTCGCCGCCCCCCCCCCACCCTCCCCCAGCATTTACCTAGAGCGGCTCCAGCCCGACGCACACCGGGGGAAGGGCAGGCTCCCTGCCTGCCCTGCCCCCTGCTGCTCCAGGAAGCGGCTGGAACGTGGGGAAGAGGGGACACAGGGCTCTGTGTGTTGCTCTTGATTCAGGCAGCACCCGCAGCAGCTCCCATTGGCCACAGTTCCCCGTTCCCGGCCAATGGGAGCTGCTGGGGATGGTGCCTGAAGCAACAACAAGACACAGACTCCTGTGCCCCTCCTCCCCCAGGTTCCAGCCACTTCCCAGAGCAGTGTGGGGACAGGCAGGCAGGCGGCCTGTCCTGCCCCCAGTGCGTGTCGGGCCGGAGCCCACCCCCCGAACCCCTCCTGCAGCCCACCCCCTGCTGTACCCCACACCCCTCCTGCACTCCACACCCCAACTTCCTGCCCTGAGCCCCACACCCCTCCTGCCCTCCCTGGGGGCAGGAAGGGGGCAGAGTTGGGGTGGGGATTTCAGGGAAGGGGTTGGAATGGGGGCAGGGCCTCATGGAAGGGATGGAGTGGGGACGGGGCCAAGGGTGGTGGGGGAGGTGTCAGTAATGCGGCCCTCGGCCAATGTACTAGTCCTCATGTGGCCCTCGTGGTCATTTGAGTTTGAGACCCCTGGTCTAATCACTGCCAGGAAGTGCTTTGATCACACAATGTCCATTTAGTTGAAGACAATGGGACTACTTAACCTACTAACAGTTACACACCTGCTTAAGTGCTTTGCTGGATCAGGACTTGAGTGCAGAGAACACAAATGTAAAAAAATCACTAAAATGTAAACATTTTCACACTTTGCAAGGGATAAATTCCATCTAAATCTGCAAAATAATGAAGGGCCAATTTTTTAAAAAATAGGCCCGTAAGGTGAGCCTGCAAAATGTGCAGATGCAAAAACATCCATTTATGTGCTCAGTTGGATACCTGCATGTGCATTTACCTAACCTGTACTTGCAGTTGCCTATTTTTCATTTACAGCTGTTATTACTATTGATTTATATTACCATAGCATCTAGAAACCACTGCCAATGATCAGGGCCCCATCGTGCTGACACACTGTAAAAATATTCTTTCCCCTAAGAGTTCTCAATCTAGGTTATGACAATACACAACATGTGGATGAGATACACACATAGGAGGTGGCAAATGACAAGATCACAGTAAAGAAAGAAAGTTATCATAAATAGGCAGAAAACTTAACATAAGAACGGCCATATTCAGTCAGACCAAAAATCCATCTAGCCCAGTATCCTGTTTTCCAACAGTGGCCAATGCCAGGTGTCCCAGAGGGAATGAACAGAACAGGTAATCATCAAGTGATCCATGCCCTGTCACCCATTCCCAGCTTCTGGCAAATAGAGGCTAAGGACACCATCTCTCTACAGCACCTGCCTAGCCAGTCATCCATTTGCACCCTAAGTTCTATATTTTGGGGACAAAATGTAGTTGCCTATTTTTGAAAACTTGACCCAAAAGGACTGATCTGTGCTTATTTTTCATAGGATTCTTGCAATCCTATTCCCTAAGCAGAGAGTCATCCACCTTGGTCTAACTGTCCAGTGAAGAGCAATTGAGTACTGCAGTGTAACATGATACGTTGCACTGGTTGAAAAATGACACTGGATCAAATCCAGATCTCCCACAGAAATAAATGGCAACATTTCCCTTGACTTCAATGGGAATCAAGATTTGGCCCATGATTTTCTTCAGTTTTTAAGATCATTCTGAAGAAACTCTAAACTTCTCTTCAAGGAGTCAATAACAGAAAAAGGAACTGGAGTTAATTTTACAGGCAGGTGTGTAAGGGTCATTGCTTTCTTACCAGCTTTATTTTTAGCACCACTGACTGTCTCTGCTGTTAACGGGGAAACATCAAGCCTGCTGACAAACAGTTGATGGTCCTGATAAAGAAAGCCAATGTCTTCCAGTATCTGGACAGGGCTACTGGGGTTGTAACAAGAGATAGGGGGCCTATAAGAAAGAAAAATGGAATGTCAATGCCAATAAACCAGTCAGTGAAGTCTTGCTGCCATGACTCATGTTGGCCGTATGTTGGAATAATGATTTGCATCTTGCTGAATGATCTGAGTGGCTCTACTGGAGTATCCATACCTCTTTTTTTAGTCACATAAATTCAGATTTAGGGCCCATTCCTGCCAGTTCTGAGTGCTTTCTGGTGAGGTGCTGAACATATTCAACTCCCATTGATTTAACTGAGAGTTGAGGGCACTCAGAATCTCTCAAGAGGTGTTTTGCACCTTGTAGGATTGGTGCTTTTACTATGGAAAATGTATCCAAGGTCAGCCACCTAGGTAAGGGCTGCAAAGGACAAATTTTCAATACAATGCAACACTGCTTTTTCTAGCGAACCAAGAAGGTTTATACTACACCATAATTTCAAACACAACTATTCTGCTCAGTTATACAAGCCACAGGAAAAAAATATGCCTTAAACCTAACCATAAATGAAAAGAAAGCACAGCTGTGCTTTGAACCAAACACAGGCGGCAATTCCAGCTGTCAGAGGCTCAGTAGGTTCAAAACTAAGCACTGAAAGCTTCAAAGCTCTGAGGTTCAGGATTTACTATATTCAGTCCTAGTTCAATGCCACAAAAGCACTGTTAGACCGAGGGACCAGTGACTGTTGAAGGCCTGCCATGCTGTGAACCCTCAGGAATCTAGACTATTGCTCTATATCATTGGAAAGCTGGGAAATCCTTGCCCACAAAGACATAAAGAATTAATTTCTAGCCCTGACAGGGTATGTAACATAAGCTCATAAGATCACATTATTTTGATTACTAATTTATTTCCATCATCACTGCATCAATCCCCTTTTTAATCTGACATGATTTTAATCTCTAGAGTTAGGAATAAATATGTTATCTCAAACAGCCAGGGAATCTCTGATTTCACAGGATATATAAAGCATTAATGTTCAACTCGAGTGAGATATCAGTTCCTAAAAGGCCTTGCCTAGACAATACCTTGACCTGCTAAAATCAAGCTAAAGCAGTTAAAACGTGTCTATATTGGTATTTAATGGAGTTTTCAATTGAGTTAAGATAGGGTGATTGAGATAATGGCATTGAGAAAAGCAACTTTTTTTCTTAGTCTGGACAGAGCCCAAATTGGAATTTGGCTATAATCCCAAGGCTGACACCATGGCTCTTAAGAAATACGTATCTTGAATGGTCATAAGTGGCCTGAACCTTGGTCTTACATGTCATCTGAAAGGCAGTCATTCAAACAGCATAAGGCCAACAACACCAAGATAGTACATTGACTATGAGGAACAAGTACCACCTACTGAATCATCAATACCATTTCTTGCACCAGTTTAGCCTTTGAGGTCTCCCATACAAATACTGAGCAGGCCTGACCCTGCTTAGATTATAAAATTTGGCAAGAGCATAAATCAAGGTATAGCCACAAAATAGTAATGGGAAGTAAATGTGGAGATTGTATTATTGAAAGAAAGGGTTGAGAAATCCAAATATCTGTAACAATCCAAATGGCAGCATTCAATTCAATCTGAAGTCCATGAAGCCTTTTACATGGAAAATAAACCCATGAATAACAGTCATCTAATGCAGAACATAATTGTTTCATAGAGTACCATCACCACCACATAGGTAGAGATAACATGACTCAATATGTACAGATGTTCTTAATATGGTAAAAGGAAGATCTAGCTAGATCATGAACCAAGGTGGATAAAAATTAATGATTTTTTTTAAACAATCAAATCGTATATTTTTTTTATTTAAATCGGATTTTTTTGATAAAATGCTTTTTGAGGAAAAAACCTATCTAAAGATAGTTTTAATTAAGATACATTATAGCTCAAAGATATCTCATCATGGAGTAGGGATTATACAGTTGAATTCTATGGTATGAGACAATATTCATGTAATGTTTAAGAAAAGTTTTGTAAATGAGTTCCAATAGTTCATGGATTAGGGACTCAATCTTATGGGGTTCCAGGGGCTTCTGTATAGATTATTTAGGTTAATCTTTCTATCTACCCAATGAGACTCAGTGCTCAGTCTAGAAGATACCATCAGAGATGCTTAGTTTTGCAGTTCTCAAACTGTGGATTTGTGTTTCCAGAGGTAACATGCTTGTTAACAGCAAAAATGTTTTAAATAAATAAATAATATATAAAGGTGAGAAATAACAGATCTCAGCTCTATTGTCCCTCTGTAAATTTGTGTACACAGAGTCAATCCCTTACCTCTCTCTAAAAGTGCAAAATTTTAAAAAGTTCAATGAATAGAAGATTGTTGGGGGCGGAATAGATCTGGACAAGGAGAAGAAGTCTGGAGATAAATGTGAGAAGCGAGGGACATATGCTTGTTTTGTTAAAATATTATATGTTTGCTGTTGAAGAAAAAAATCCAGAATACTTAACGTTGTTGTTTTACTTAAATAAAACAATTTACATGTCTGTCTGTTGATGTCCTCCTCCTAGTACAACATGGCAAGAAAATCCTCCAAATATTAATGATTAACCTGTTGAATTAGAGATAGTTCAACTCCCAATGACTTCATAAATATCTGCTTCAGTTACCTTTGGTAAATGAAATAACCAAACAATCATTCATTTTCTGATATAGCCTGTAAAACTAATCTGAAAAGTTTTCAAAATAAATCACTTTTTAAAAATGTATACTGTGTACCTTCTAAAAAATGAAACCTACATCTATCTCTGAGTTGTGAGGAATATGTATTAAGGTTATAACAACCAACAAGAATGCACTTCTATGTAGAAAACCATGATTACATCGATTCTTCCTGACTAGTGATTTAAATCATGATTTTAATCAATTTGATTTAAATCAAATCCACCCTGGCATGAACAGAACCACATCAAGGATAACTATGCT